TCCATTTTCTATGAAAACCACTCCACCTCTTTGCCCCCCCAACTTCACCAGATAATATGTCACCCACTTCCTACAGAGCCAGATTTGCCAACAAAAAGCTTATAGGTATCATCTTTGTGCCCAACTCCTCAGTGCCATCTTTGTTCCCACAGAGCTTCCCAGCACCATCTTTGTCCCAAAATAGATAATCAGTGCCATCTTTGTCTCGAATATTTGTGCTTAGCTAGCTTATCAGTGCCAGGGGCAGATTCAGGACCTAATCTCAAGATGGGTACTGGTAGTGAGCTGTAGTGGGGTGATAGGGGCTGTAGTAGGGAGTAATGGATTGGATTAGGAAATAGATAATGTATTGGGGGGTATTGGGTGTAAAGGGGCTGTAGTAGGCCATAGCAGCTGTGGTATGGCCCCCACTGGGGACCAATAGGGGCTGTTGTTTGATTATAAGGGCTGTAGTATGGCATAAGGGACTGTAGTAGGGAAAATACAGTCTGGAGTGGGTGGTTTGGATCTGTAGTGGGTGGAATCCAGGCATATGGGGATATGGGCTGCAATTGGGAGAATAGGGCTGCTATTCTCTTCTAAAATTTATGGGTATACATAGGGTAAAAGGAAACTGGCAAGGAGGGGATTTCCTAAAATTATTAGGACAAAGTGAGATGAAGTGGATATTCAACCTTGGGACTTTAAAACCCCAGGGTCTGAATATAGACTTCGAGCTTTGTCACTTTATTTGAAATTTACATTTATGAATTCCACGATTATTCATATGTGAATATTCATACTAATTATCTACACAATATGTATATAATTCTCATCCCCCAAATATTATATATTAATCACAATCTGTATTTAATGGAGCCATTTTTATTATATTTTTATTTATTTAAAAACCAATCTTGTTCTTTTTTGATTCTCTTGTGAATACCATTCAAATTATACAAATGCATATAATTATCACAATAAGAATGCATATATTATGGATTTGTCACTTATAAGCACACTGCACTTTTAATAATAAGCATCACTCTGGTTTGATATAGTGAAGGATATCATTTATGGTATAATAACAACAAATTTTCTGTTTATCAATAGTTTATTTTTTATGTATTCTGCCATTATGGTGTATATGTATTGACTTTCAGTAATCCCTTTTGAGTCCGGGTTCCGTGTGTGATCTACACACACGGCATTCAACAGAGGGAGGAGTCCGCAACCACCTCGTCACGCCTGATGGGCGGGGCGTGCCGACGTGTCCATGGACCAGTTCCATACATCCCTCCCCTCAGTACACACGTGAGTAGGACGTATCACGTGACTAAGACGCCGGGGAACTTCCGGGCGGCGGCAAAGTGGCGATCACATGGGTCTGTGACGTCACTTCCGCCAAACGCCCGGACTCATGCGGATCACTTCCGCCAACCACCACAGGCCACCAATGAAATTTAGAGGTAATATAGGTGCCAGAAGTCCTAACCAATTAAAGGGATACATACACAATTTACTGCATATAGGAAATGTAAACTTCATTGTGATTGGCCAACAAGGATTGTACTCATTAAAGGGGAGGTCCACAAAAAACATTTAAAATGGAAGATCCAGAGGACTAACACCACAGCTGACTGAGGAAGCTCCACAAAGGAGTGAAACGCGTATTGGCTATTTCCAAAGGACTTTTTTTTACCAAGGACTTTTATACTTATTGTTTTTATTTGATTTTTATTTGTTTTTTATACTTGAATAAATTTACCATTTTATTTAAGATCCTTGCCTAAGTCCTTTTGGGGCCTCAAAGAGAATCTTCCAGGGGTAGTGCCATCCCCACTAAAACGGGTACAATATTTATACACCTAGAGCCGGGACCCACAGGCTCAGGACCAGGTGAGCACACCATCTACTTATACCTCATTGTGTTACCAGAAGAAATATCTACACATTGGTTCGTATTTTCTGTTTTTGTCTTTGAGTATCATCTGAAGGAGACGGGCGGTGCTACCCTAATAAGCACACAAGCCACAATACGGAGCCAGTGTTTTTTATATACAGGCTCCTTGAAATGTGAGTGTTCTATTCATCCAATTTTACTATTAAGGTTAAATTATTATTGGAAATACTGTCTGCACTATATTGTCCTTTCTTGTATTTTTTCCTTTACATGTACCTTATACTTTACCATTGAGTGCAATATAATTTGGTAAGCCATATATGTGTTGGAGCGCTCCACTTATTGGTATAGGTCTTTCTGCTACCTAAACCGCACTTATAACTATAATTTTATCCTGTGGAATAGGGGATATTTCCACATAAGTGTATTGAGCTGCCTGTAAATCACCTTTATTTGTTTAGACCACTCTTTTACACACATTCCTCTGTAAAAGGAGGTAGCGTTTGACTGGTATTCAGAATAGGGCTGCTGTTTGGTTAAAAAAGGCTGTAGTAAGGGGGTTAAGGAATGTAGTAAGGTGTTAGGATCTGTAGGATAGGTAATTAAGGGCTGTCGTGGAGCACAGGGAGGTTAGGTGCTGTAATAGTGCATAGGGGCTGCAATTGTGGCTAGTTGGTGTTTAGGGGCAATAGTGGGGCATAAGGACTGTAGTAGGGGGAGGGTTAGGGCCTGTTGTAGGGGTTGTAGTAGGGCATATGGGCTACAATTGGGGTTAAGGGCTGCGGTAAGGTTAAAACAGCTGCAGTAGGGGGGATGGGGGATAGGGGCTGCAGTAAGGAGTTAAGAGTAGAGGGGCTGGTATTGGGTGGTTAGGAGCTGTAGAAGGGCATGGGGCTGTGACAGGTGAGTTAGGGTATGTAGCAGGGCATAGGAGCTGTAGTAAGGCATAGGGGTATATGGGCAGGGTATATGGGCTGCAGTAAGGAGATAGGAGCTGTAGTATTGATATTGCGTGGTTCTGGGCTGTAGTGGGGCATAGGAGCTGGGGTACAGGGGTTAGGGGCTGAAGTATGGCATAGGTACTATGGTAGGGCATATGGTTTGTGGTAGGGGTTTAGGAGTAGTGATGTCACGAACCCGAAATTTTCGGTTTGCGAACGTCGAACGCGAACCTCCGCAAATGTTCGCGAACCGGGCGAACCGCCATTGACTTCAATGGGCAGGCGAATTTTAAAACACACAGGGACTCTTTCTGGCCACAATAGGGATGGAAAAGTTGTTTCAAGGGGACTAACACCTGGACTGTGGCATGCCGGAGGGGGATCCATGGCAAAACTCCCATGGAAAATTACACAGTTGATACAGAGTCTGGTTTTAATCCATAAAGGGCAGAAATCACCCAACATTCCTAAATCACAATCAATATGGATTGACACCTGACATATGACACATTGACACCTTGACATATGGATTGACACCTGTCCTCAGAGCCCCTGATGCACACGGACACAGAGCAGAATAGAGACTGGTCCCCCTACATAGGGTCACTTGGCAGATATGGATTGACACCTGTCCTCAGGATCCCTGATACACACCGACACAGAGCAGAATAGGGACTGTTCCCCCTACATAGGGTCACTTGGCAGATATGGATTGACACCTGTCCTCAGAGCCCCTGATACACACCGACACAGAGCAGAATAGAGACTGTTCCTCCTACATAGGGTCACTTGGCAGATATGGATTGACACCTGTCCTCAGAGATCATGATACACACTGACACAGAGCAGAATAGAGACTGTTCCTCCTACATAGGGTCACTTGGCAGATATGGATTGACACCCGTCCTCAGAGACCATGATACACACTGACAGAGCAGAATAGGGACTGTTACCCCTACATAGGGTCACTTGGCAGATATGGATTGACACCTTGTTACAAACTATTTGTAACGGGCCCTTTAAATGGCAAATTGCCCTGCTTCCCTGGGTTGTGGAGAAGCCTATTTGCCAGCCTCCTCCCGCATGACTATGGCCCCTGGGAGATTGTGAAAATGTATGCACTTTTATTTGGTATGTATGGCCCTTTAAGACTGTCGGTGGGCATATTGGGGCTTATGGACTCTTTATGTGACTGGTGCTGGCCCCTTAAACACCTTTTTTGGGACATCAGGAAGATTGGGACACTGCCCCTTTAAGGCCGTGTCCCCAGACTTGTTGGGGACACGGCCCCTTTAAGACGGTGTCCCCTGTGTCCCCAGACCTGCCTGCCTGGCTATTTCCCACTTGGTTCAGTAAATGGGGCTTACTGAACCAAGTACCACACAGGCAGACCACCCAGAAGTGGAAGTGTGCAGGCAATTTACCTCCCAGAAGCTGCGGTTAACCGCAGCTTAATTGACAATGCTGGGAGGTCTTTGTTCGTTTGCCGAACACGTGGCGGCGGCCATCTTTGATCATTCGACGAGGTCAGCGGTATGTGTAGCCAAATTCATGGAACTAAAATCGGCTACACATTTCCGCGAACACCGCTGAGCTCTACCTTCTCCCCTACTGGTTTTACAGCTGCAGAGACTAAGTCCCATTCGGCGATGGGACTTAGTCATTTTTTCAGCCTGAAATAGACCGACCTCACAGCCCAAATCTATGAAACTGTTTTGGGCAGGAAAATGTGCTTGCGGTCGGTCATAAAGGGACCTCCAGCTAACTTTTTAACCCCTGGATGTATTTGGCTGATTTTTGGTTATGTTTATGTTTTAAGTGTGCTGATTCCAAATATGTAATTATGAAGATGGGATGTGTAGTTTTAAAGTTACAGTGTATGGCTAAAAACTGTATTTTTACTGCCTGTGTTTAATTATGTTAATCTCTTCCCAAACGTCATTTCGTTCAAAGTGGAGAGAATGTTAAAAAAATATATTTTTGTTCGGAGTGTGAGAAATGCTTTTCAGCCGCTTCTAATCTTAAGCATCATTTGAGGAGCCATGCAGGAGAGAAACCTTATTTGTGGTGTGTTTAGTATTGTTCTGATCAGTTTAATACCTTCCGCGTCTCCTATCAGTGGACGTGTATATGGCAGCCATTTTAGGAACCTTACACCTGGGACCCGAGCAAGGTCACCTCGTTCAACAGGCTTGCAGTGTATCCTCCAGGAAGAAGAGCCTGAACCCTTACCGGCTGCACGTGTCTTACCTGTACATGGAAAGCTGCTCTGGTTCCTTGATGAGCCAGCTGCCCGTGAGTTAACATGTCCCGTGGAGAAGCACTCTGTCCTGTAAAGCCTCACCAAAAAAAAGGAGTGGTGTGTTTAGTATTGTTCTGATCAGTTTAATACCTTCTGCGTCTCCTATCAGTGGACGTGTATATGGCAGCCATTTTGTCAGATTCAAGTTCTTGTGCCCCACAGTTCAAAATAACATTCAAATGACAATTCATGACAGATCACACAAGTGAATAGCCCTGCCAACGTCTTCTCAGAATTTTTTCGTTTTCTATGAAGAAATAGAAATGCAAGAGCAGAATAGAGACTGTTCAGTTTAATACCTTCCGCGTCTCCTATCAGTGGACGTGTACACAGCATTGATTTTTGTAACAGGGAGATGGAAGAAGAGGCTTGGTCGGTCCTCTTACTGCAAATTGCATTGCTGTACGGGTGGCAGGTGGAGCCATTTATAAAGTACACACTGCTTTATAAAGGCATTTATAAAGTACACACTGGCGGCTTGAACCCTAGTTGGTGGTGGATAAGTCACGCAAGTCAACCGGCATTCAGAGTTATAATACAGCAGCGTGTGGACCATTTTTAGCCCAAGGCAGCTCACCTCATCAGGCCTTTTTTACATAGGGTCACTTGGCAGATATGGATTGACACCTGTCCTAGGGATCCCTGATACACACTGACACAGATCAGAATAGGGACTTCCTCCTACATCGGGTCACTTGGCAGATATGGATTGACACCTGTCCTAAGGTTCCCTGATACACACTGACATTGCAGAGCAGAATAGAGACTGCCCCCTACATAGGGTCACTTCTTGGCATATATGGATTGACACCTCGTCCTAAGGTTCCCTGATACACACTGGATACCACACCTACTTGGATGGTATAGACATTTTTAGCTGCTCCTGGCCCAACACCTGACCCACATAGAGCCGTGAATAGACCGGATTAGGAGTCCGACTGACCTAAAGCCCAGTAAGTAAGTGCCATATAGGAACGCAGGTAAAACCTCCCAAGATAGTAGTATGGGCCCCAGAGTGTGAACAGGCCTTCCAACAGCTCAAGACGCCAAGCATTAAATCAACAATACCCGTACTTTCTGGGTTCTGATCCAACTAAACACTTTCTCGTCCATACAGACGCTTCTATGCTTGGATTGGGAGCAGTACTGAGCCAAGTCGGAGCAGATGGTGGCGAGCAACCCGGGGCTTATCTAAGCCGTAAACTTTTGCACAGCAAAGTATATTCACTGCCATTGAAAAGGAGTGCATGGCGGTGGTGTGGGCCCTCAAAAAGCTGCAACCTATTTGTATGGACAACCGTTTACCTTACTCACAGATCACAACAAATTTGGGGCACTGCGTGTGCAATCTAATGTGCCACCAGATAGGAGTGGTGTGTTTAGTACTATTTTTATCAGTTTAATCACTGTTACGTCCCCTATCCGTTGATGTGGAGCAAGCATTACAGCAGAAGCAGCATCTTCACGAGGAGGTTATGGAAGAGGATGGAGTAGAGGAGTAGAGGAGGTGGCAGCTGCACTGGCAGAGTAAGCACACGCTGTAGGCTGACACACCTGCTTGAAGATAACTAACTGCTATTCAATCTATAATTGATGTTTGTTTCACAGGCAGAAAGTGCCTCTAAAACATATGCTTGAACCCCAGTTGGTGCATGATAAGTCACGCAAGTCAACCGCATTCAGAGCTAAAATACAGCAGCCGCAGGGACCATTTTAGCCCAAGGCAGCCTATCTCATCAGGCCTTTTTTAATCTAAAAATCAGTAAGCTCGTCCTTCGATCCATCCTCATTCATCTTAATAAAGGTGAGGTAATCTAGACTTTTTTGACCTAGGCGACTTCTCTTCTCAGTGACAATACCTCCTGCTGCACTGAAGGTCCTTTCTGACAGGACACTTGAAGCGGGGCAGGCCAGAAGTTCTATCGCAAATTGGGATAGCTCAGGCTACAGGTCAAGCCTGCACACCCAGTAGTCAAGGGGTTCATCGCTCCTCAGAGTGTCGATATCTGCAGTTAAGGCGAGGTAGTCTGCTACCCGTCGGTCGAGTCGCTCTCTGAGGGTGGATCCCGAAGGGCTGTGGCGATGCGTAGGACTTAAAAAGGTCCGCATGTCCTCCATCAACAACACGTCTCTAAAGCGTCCTGTCCTTGCCGGCGCGGTCATGGGAGGAGGAGGATGACTTCCACCTCTCCCCCTGTTAGATTCCCGTTGTGCTGTGACATCACCCTTATACGCTGTGTAAAGCATACTTTTCAATTTATTTTGCAAATGCTGCATCCTTTCATACTTGTTGTAATTCGGTAACATTTCCGCCACTTTCTGCTTATACCGGGGTCTAGTAGCGTGGACACCCAGTACAGGTCGTTCTCCTTCAGCCTTTTTATACGAGGGTCCCTCAACAGGCACGACAGCATGAAAGACCCCATTTGCACAAGGTTGGATGCCGAGCTACTCATTTCCCCTTCCCCCTCCTCACTGGGATGTCTAATGAAGTTGCATTTTTCTTCCCACCCAGCCACGCATAACACCATACAGGTACTCAGATAGGTGACAACGAAAGCACCCTGGGATGCCTGTTGTGGGTTGGTCTTGCCCTCCCTCTCTTCCTCCCTCCCTCAAAGCCACATTCTCCCTCTGACTCCTCTTCCTCACAATCCTTCCAGCATTAAGCCGCAGGTCCAGCAAAGGACATGCTGATAAGGCTGTTTCTGGAGGTGATGGGGTGCACTACACCCCTTTCCTCTTCCTTCACGCCATCTACGCCTGATCCAGCACTCTCGTGAGGGCACGCCCAGGAAGAAAACAATGGTAAGGGATGTCGCTGGATGGTGCCTTCGGTGCGACTGACTAAATTTGTCACCTCCTCAAAAGGACGCATGAGCCTACAGGCATTGCGCATGAGCGTCCAGTAACGTGGCAAAAAAATTCCCAGCTCCCCAGAGGCTGTCCTAGCACCCCCGTCATACAAATATTCATTAACGGCTTTTTCTTGTTGGAGCAGGCGGTCGAACATTAGGAGTGTTGAATTCCAACGTGTCGGGCTGTCGCAAATCAAGCGCCTCACTGGCATGTTGTTTCGCCGCTTGATATCGGCAAAGTGAGCCATGGCCGTGTAGGAACGCCTGAAATGGCCACACACCTTCCTGGCCTGCTTCAGGACGCCCTGTAAGCCTGTGTACTTACGCACAAAGCGTTGTACGATCAGATTACACACATGTGCCATGCACGGCACATGTGACAACTTGCCCAACTTCAATGCCGCTAACAAATTTGTTCCGTTGTCACAAACCACTTTGCCGATATCCAGTCGCTGCGGAGTCAGCCACTTTTCCACCTGTGCGCTCAGGGCGGACAGGAGTGCTTGTCCGGTGTGACTCTCTGCTTTCAAGCAAGTCAAACCCAAGACGGCGTGACACTGCCGTATCCGGGATGTGGAATAGTACCTTGGGAGCTGGGGGGGTGCCGTTGATGTGGAGCAAGACGCAGCAGCAGAAGAGGACTCAGCCGAGGAGGTTATGGAAGAGGATGGAGCAGGAGGAGTAGAGGAGGTGGCAGCAGGACTGCCTGCAAGTCGTGGCGGTGTCACCAACTCCTCTGCAGAGCCATGCATCCCATGCTTGGCAGCAGTCAGCAGGTTTACCCAATGAGCAGTGTAGGTGATATACCTGCCCTGACCATGCTTTGCAGACCAGGTATCAGTGGTCAAATGGACTCTTGCCCCAACACTGTGTGCCAGAGATGCTATTACTTCCTTTTGCACAATTGAGTACAGGTTGGGGATTGCCTTGGGCGTAAAAAGTACTCTCGGCCGGTACCTTCCACTGGGCGTGTCCCAATAGCTACAAATTTTTGAATGTTTCCAGACTCCACCAGCTTGTATGGTAAAAGCTGGCGGCTAATAGTTCGACAAGCCAGCGTGTCAGACGCTGGGCAAGGGGGGGTGACTTCTTCTGACATTGTCTTCTTACGCCAAACATGTCCTTGACAGACACATGACTGTAGGAAGATGAGCGTGAACTGCTCAAGGCGGGAGGCGGAGTGGCGGATGGTTGAGAGGGGACAAGGAGGACAGCAGTGGTTGACGTGGCTGAAGATGCTGGACCAGGAGGAGGCTGGCGGCTTAGAGTCCGCGAGCTGCTTGTACTCATGTGTTGATCCCATAGGCGTTTGTGATGTGAGATCATGTGCCTAAGCAGTTGTACCTAGGTGGGTGTTGGACTTCCCACGACTCAGTTTCTTTTGGCACAGGTTGCAAATGGCATCGCTGTTGTCAGAGGCAGACACACAAAACAAATTCCACACTGCTGAGCTCTGCAATGACGGCATTCTGGTGGTGGACACAGCATGCGTTGATTGGAGTGCTGTCGGGCTGACCCCGGGTGCCAATGCATGCTGTCTGACTGTGCCACTAGCTCCTTGCGACGACCTCCCCCTGCTTCCAACTCGTCTCCTCCTCCTCCTCCTCCCTGTCTCCCCATCTGAACTTCGCCCTGTTCTTCTTCTTGCTGAGCGGGCACACACGTGACATCCATGGATGCATCGTCATCATCAACCGCTTCACTTGTATCTGACAACTCAGCAAAGGAAGCAGCAGCGGGTACAACATCATCATCATCATCACACCGTACGTCCATGTGTGTAATGCTGCCTGCCTGAGACATATCCCTGTTATCTACATCCTCTGGCAATAATGGTTGCGCATCACTCATTTCTTCAAACGGATGTGTGAATAACTCCTCTGACATACCAACTGAAGCGGCTGTGGTGCTAGATTTGGTGGTGGCGGCAGGCGGGTGAGTGGTATCTTGAGAGGTGCCTGAAGCTAAGCTGGAGGAGGATGGTGCGTCAAGGTTCTGAGCGGAGGCTGTAGAAGATTGGGTGTCCTGTGTTAGCCAGTCAACTATGTCCTCAGAACTTTTCAAGTTCAGGGTACGTGGCCTCTGAAAACTGGGCATTATTCTAGGGCCAAAGGGAATCACAGCACCACGACCACGATGGCCCCTGCGGGGTGGCCTGCCTCTGCCTGTCATTTTTGTTGGGATTAGTGGTACTATGCGTGCAAGCTACTGTGAGACCAGATATGAGTGGCAATGTGCACTGGCACAGTTGTGCAGAGCACAGGCTGTAGGCCTGACACCCGCTTGAAGATAACTAACTGCTATTCAATCTATAACAGTGAAAAAAGTTTTTTGTTTT